CCCACTAGTAGACTAGAAGGGGAACCCATGGTCTACTCTTGTGTTCTGTGGATTTTGGCCAGTCCATATCACTTGATCTGTGAGCTTGTCTAATTAACAGTAACATGGATGAGGATTTAGCCCATGGGTTTAGTCAGAAGATACAAGGTGGGTGGATATAAAGGAGATGAGAGGATTATTGATTGTAATTTGTTATATGCTTTGACAATATGAAATTTGTTTGAATACTATGAATTTGCAATTGTCTCACTTGACACATCACAAGCACTTACTTGTATGCGTAATAAGTAGGATTGTTGGTTACTGAGGCTTTTGTCTCACCCAGTTGATTTAACACTTTTCCAAGTGATAATTCCTGTTCGGTCAGTTAGGGAAGGCTCCAGAAGCGTGAGCTACTACTACAAAATAGTAGTGCTTCCACCCTTTTGATTGTGTTGAATAGATATATATTGTCATAATAGGACCCATTCCACTTACTTTGATATGTTTGAGATTGATTATTTTGATAGTATAGTTTTGATAACTGTTACTGGATTGCATATTGGTAGAAGGCCGGAGGCCTCTAGGTATTTGCATGTCATTTTTTTTTGTATGAGTTGTGGATCCACAACGAGCCTTGACATCAAATGACTTTTGATTTAGAAAGTAATGAAAGGTATTATTCAGTAATTCGTGTTACGGGCTTATGGTTGAAAATGACATTCTGAGTTCATAATGCCAAAAGCCTTATTCATTGTGAATCTCGATTTGCACAAAGTTGATTTAGAAGGACACTTTTAACCATGATAGATATATTTATATATTGGTTTAACTCTTTTTTATCATCGTTAATCTCGTGTGATTTAGGATGTTTATATACCCATGATAGTGTTTTTAAATGTTTTACAAAGTTTCTTTTCTATTATGGTTAACTTTTCAATATTGATTAATTTAAAAGTGTAATAGTTTCATTGTTACAAATGTCTTATCATTTTCTTTTGGTCACAAGTCTTTAAAGATATATTATATACGGGTTGGGAAGCGTGACAATAAAAATGGCAAGATGACCTGGCACAAACCATTAGTAAGTGTTTCAATTAAAATTCTTTAATTTCATTGACAATTACTTCATATATACGTATAGTTATCTTTGTGATTCACTTTTGATTTACAGTCTCATCTGCAACCAGGAAGTTTAGAGTGCGAATACTATATTATCTGTCTCATGTATGAAATTATTGAGTCAGGATGTACTAAAGATTTTGAGATGGTAATAATTAGTTTGATTACAATTATTTGATTTTTTTTCAATTTGATTTCTTGCTTTGTTTTAATTAATTTTTTTTATTCATAAACTTACAAATTTTTTACGATCAAAGCTCTTACATTGATAAAGATATTGATGCTATTCGATATTATTTGGCAGGACAATTTCTTCAAGAGTATTTCTTTCAAAATGACACATGAGGTTGAAAGGCATAGTTTAGGAATTTAGTTATTTTTTACTTCGCTAAGTTAATTAGGATGTTATTTTCATAAGTTATTGTTTAGGATGTCATTAGGATACCATTTGTATGAAAACTACCTCTACTAAATTGCTACTATTGTTGTACTTTGTTGTGGTCCAGTTTCATTTGCAGGGTTCAAAGGAAAACTGTGGTATATACACAATTACAAATTTTATTTTTCTTAAAAAAATTTATATGTTCATCTCCTCACTTGGGAACAAATGAGTATGACTCACCAAACTCATCTACTCCAAGAGGAACAGACGAGTATGAGGTGAGTATACTCGTCTGTTCAGTTGGAGTAGACGAGTATAAGCACCTCATACTCCTCTGTTATGAATAGATGAATGTGTTAATCCCATCTACGTATCTTCTGTCAATGTTCCCGTGAAACAAATGAATAAAGGTTTCCAGAATAGACGAAAATAATTTTTTTTTTGTAGTGGTGATTTCAAATAATCTCATTGATTCCTTTTCCAAGCTTACTTCTTAATCCTTTGATGAAGTAGTGGTGTTTTCAAAATCTCTAGCATTTCAAAATATTTTTGTTGAAAAAATAATCAGTTTTAGTGTTAAAAATCAAGTTTGTGCGGGTTACTGTTCTGAGTTATTCGAAATTTTATTTTAATCTTGAAAATTGATTTCAATGTCTTTTGGTTTCAGCAAAGTCAGATAAAATAAATTCCAGGTATCAAATTTGATTTTTAGTATTTTTTGTTTGTTTCTGCCTTTTGTCACTCAATCTTTCAACTGTTTTCTGTCATGCGCTTATAAATCAAAATTGATTTTATTGACCAAAATGGATCTATAACCTTCCATTTGAAAATTTTAGCGATTCAAAATTGATTTTTATATTCTTGATTTTTCTTTGTTTTCGCAATGATCATCTTGAATCGTTTCTGTTTGTATTTCTATGGTTCTTTAAGTTCTTTCTCATATGATGGTTAAACATTTTAAGACTTAAGAACAAAGCTCTAACACACCCAATGAAGAGAAAAGGCCTATTAAAGGCAATATCATTAGATGCAACCATAAATTGCCAGGGTATTGTTTGTTATGAGGTGATGCCCGTCAAAGAATTCTTATGAAAAAATCAAGCTTCTGCTGGTTTTGTTTTTTGATGTAAATGCTTGTGTGCTGCACTAGGGAACCGGTTTCGGTAATGAGCACTTTAAACTCATCAGATTTGGACTATTTACATTTTATTTGAATGGTCCAAGTTTTATTTTTTTAATTTTTATTTGTTCAAAATAATTATTTTAATACATATATAGAATCTAAATAAATATAATTTTAAAACTATCATTTTTTTAAAAGATAATTTTTTCTATTGAAAAATGATTAATTAAAAATTTTAAATCTGGATGATTCAAATCAAATATAGACGGTCCAAATTTGATAAGCTTATAGTGCTCATCAAAATTATGAGTACTGAAACTAATTCCATACTCTTTTATCGATCTACAGTTCCAACCTATAGATCATTATAGATAAAGCTCCCTATACAAGTTTATTGTGTTGAAGGGAGATTCCTTCAGAGTCCTCCTAATGGTGCCTCTCTTCTTAACATCACTCGGCCAAAAAAACTTACCTTTGCCCATAATTTCTCACTTGCTAGTATTAATATTGTTTCTAAATCTTGTTTTGTTAATTTTAATTCTGCTAAGTAGTTTTTTTTTTGTCGCTAAAGTAGTATTGTTAAGTATTGGTAACTTGCAAATATTTTTATTACGAATGTCATTTTATTTTTTGTCCAAAAAAAGAGAAGATTAGTGACTTTAGCCTATCAACCTATAAGTAGCAGCTTATTCAAGTTGGAGAAGCATAAGTGAGTACTACATCAAACAGTGCTTTCATTAATTCATTCTGAAATCTCCAATAAAAAAGCCCTCTTGCTCTGACAAAATACAAGCTATTAAAACCCCCCAAAAGGATATACTAATACCAAAAAACAGAAAAAAAACACAATAGTTAAATTTAAAAGAAACACTAATTAAAAATAATAATTCTCATCCCAAATTCAACACATTAAATAACGAGGGATCAAGCCCTACACTTTCTTTCATTTTTCTTTCCCCTCGCTCATATGCCAAACTCAAGCACAATAAAAAAAAAAAAAGAGCCAATATTTATACAAAGTTGTACTTATCCTTTATTCTCAACCAATTAAATTTGGAACAGAGGACTAAAACTTTTATATAATAATATTAATTTACACATGAAACATAAGAACCAAGGAAAGACGTTTATTATATGAATAGTTGTTATCTCGTTGCAGAGTTTTGCATCAAAATTGAAACATAACAGTTTAAGCACTCCAGATAAAAAGCCCAGAAAACAAAAAACTGCTTCCCAAGGACAAAATCCATGACATGATTTCATTTAACTGTCAACATACCTGGTTTAACCTACCCTCAATGGCTTGAAAAACTCTTTTTGTTTAGTAGCTTCGGGGTATTATTAGAGAAAGGTGGGCACTCTTCTCATAGGAAATTCGAACATTAGTTCACTATCTTGTAAGGGATCGGGTGATCCTGCTACACTTAAAATGTGCTGGTGGCTTTTCCTAGTTTGAAAAAACGTGAAGTAAATAACATATACAAATGGGGCCCAACCAATTATCCATTGGCTCACAGCCACACTCCCTTGTATTTTAATTTGCAAAATGCTGAAACATCTTCCAGTTTCTCTTTTTCCGCACTGTTTTCTCCATTTTCGAACAACAGAGAGCATGTCTGTCCTTTAGAAGGTAAGAACTTGACTTTTGAGCTTGATTTGGACTCAGAACCCTTCCTAATCATAAAATTGTATTCATAAATATTTTTCTATGCAACAATAGCTTTTTAATAAATGTATTATTTTTGGGAGTAGAGCAAAGTTTAAGAATTAGGGCTTGGGGTTAAATTTAGAAAATATATGAATTAATATTCAAATGCTTAATTATGGATTATTAGTGGGGAAACTTAAGTGGTAGCCAGAAACTTTAATTATATGTGACTAAGTAATTATTCAAATACCTTATATATTAATGTGTAATTAGAATAAGAATAAAACTTATGTCAGGTTTATAGGTAAATTTATAAGTGCCTATATGCATTTTATTAATTAACTAATACAAAATAGTAAGTGAACTTGCAAATGCACATACATATTTTAACAACTAATAATAATAAAGTAGTAAGTGTTCACATAAAAATTTATAAATCCTAATTTGAATTATAAAAAATAATACGATTGCACGTATACATTTTAGCAACTAATAGTACTAAAATAATAAATGTGATTGAAAAAATATTGATAGAATAAATATAAGTAATAATTTGACCTAAGTTTTGCCCATATAATAATTATATAAATTAATTATTTTTTTGACCAGCAAAATTAATTATTAATCTACGGCTTAAAGCACTTGTTCACAGGATGACGTAATCATCTTTAGTTTTTGCTTGGCGAAAGGTAATTGATATTTCCCATTATTTCTATTTATTCATGTATCATCTTTGGCTCGCGGCTGCAGTGCTCAGACGGTGAGACCATTGGAGCTTTCTTTCTTCTTTTTCAGGCGTCTGCGTTTTCCATCATCCTCCTTCCTTGTTTCTGCGAGACGCTCGGTGTGCGAGGTAAGCTTGAACTCCTCTCCTTCTTTACTGTTTTGTGGTGAGGGTGTGTGTAGCATATCTTGATTTCTCTTTCTAATTGTGTGGTGATATATGTGTGAGAGATTAAGGCACTCTTTCCCCTGCAATTGATCATCCGAGATGAGAATGAAATTGGGATTCTTTGAACTACAATGTTATGGAAGTAGTTTATTTGAGTAGCCACTTTCGTTGAAATATTGGTTGTTGCAAGAGAAGGAGAACATGGGTTCTGTTTATCTTTAAGTTAAATGTTGTTCTGAAAGTAATTAGGGGACATGGTGACCTAATGTGGAGAATTGAAATTGTTTCGTAGAAAAGTGAGTTGAATTTTATAACTTGATTTTTTTAAGTGCACGCAAGGTGTTCGTGAGATTGTGTAGGAGAGGAATTAAAGTTTAAATGAATATCTAGATATGATTTAAAGGATCATAGACCAGATTATGGACTTGGGAAGTCAATTTGGTTCTTGAAGAGCTATGATTGGTAGACTACATATGAGTATGATAAGGGTTATGATTTATGCTTTAGTTACCATGAGATGTTTGGACGAAATAAGGGTTATTTGCTCTTCTATATTGAAAATTTGGGTAAGGAGTCTATTATTCATTCTGGTTTCTGCATTTCTCTCCTTGTTTGTTAATCTATTTCTATTTAATTTCCTCTACCTTCCATTGCTATAACTAATATGCCTGATTGCTGCAACTTATTGGGCCTATTTCAAAAGTTTCCTTTGCTGAATTTCAAACTTGAAACAGGGTAGAAAAGTGTCGGTCGTCAGCAGACATTAAGGAGATAGGATTTTTTTAATTTTTTATTTGGTACTTTTATTCATAATATTTTCTGTAGCATTTGAATGTAAATAACACGAGGTACTGATTAATTTTGTCTAGCGGGGATTCCTAAAAGTCAAGGAGATGATAAAATTGAAGGGGTTCCTATAATGGAGAATGTCTTAATAGATAATCAATTCATGGGTGCCATAGGAAATCATCAGCTTTTTGTAAGTCCTCGTGACAGGAATGCCTGAGTACTTCCTTGTAGACCTTTTAAAACATTGTGAAATTTTAGAAGACCTTTGGGATGATCACAATTCTGTATGGCATCACCATTGGCAGTATGAGAGAAACCGTGGGAATTGAAGGAGCAATGGGTTTAGATGTGACCATAATCAGTCAAGTAATATAACCAAGGCGCTAAGGCCTTCTCAGATTAATTAGTTTGCATGGAGGATTATTTTTAATGGTCTGACATGAGTGACATGTAATTTGTCCACTTTGCTAAATTGTAAAAATGAAGCTTGTGGTGTCTGCTATAGAATATTGGTAAATTGTTCATTTACTTTGAGCACATCTTGACTTGGATTTTTGAGAACTTCTACCTTTGGCAATTATTTCTTTGCATTAAGCAACATTTGATATTTTCTTCATTATTGTTTTTCTAAATTATATATGTTCAGTTCACAATGGAAGTTAGTATCCAACCAATGCATTAGATTTTTGCTGCTAATTGAAAGTGTAAACTTCTAGAGAACTTGCGGTTAAAATTTCATTATGCAATATTTGGTTTAACACTCAAAATCTTTGGATGTATTTTGTTAGATTGGAATGATGAATATGAATTTCACTGGACTTCTTGTCTACTGTCCTTTTGTTCTTCAGTCATAATTAATAAATAAATTGAATAATCTAGGCTAGAGAAAAAAATTAGATTAAAGCCTAGATACGATGATGTGTCAATCAATGATTGAGTTTATCAGACATAAATTGGTATCTGGATTATTTCCAAAGTTAGATGATGGCTTTAGCATAAGGCAAGCAGGAGGCTGTTGTGTAATAAATAACGGAAGGTTGGTTAGATAGGGGATTAATAGGAAGTTGTGTTTGTGGGTTAAGAGGCGGTTAGTTGGTCATGATACTTAGTCATTATTAGCCCCTGCCTATACAAGAGAATAGAATTGTGATATGAAGCATCCTTAATCTGACTGTCAACTATAACCATGGTCTAGTGAAACACTCTCTCGCCTCTTCTCCCTTTCTTTCTCTTCTCTCCTTCTCTCCCTCTATTCTTTCTATCTCCTTTATTCCCTCTCTATTTCCTCTATTTTCTCTCTTTCCTATCTTTATTCTATATCACGCAAAATAGTTTGTTTGGTGAAATATATGACTAGTCCCCATGCACCATATTAGAAGGATATCTTTCCATATTCATTTTTTTTCTCAAGATTTTGCCAATGTTAAGGCTGGTCTTCATTTTTATCTAGTAAGCACAATCTTCTATGAACTAACCATACTTGTTCCATGTAATTTTCTTGTTTCTTCAGCCTTCTATTTTATTTCTGCTATTAGAAGTTCTTTCCTCTATAGTTCAATTTCAAAATATTTCTTGGTTTTGATTTGCAAGTCCAAGTTTGTGATGATTTCTCAATTCTCATAATGACATGCAGACCTAGAAAAGCAGTGCAATTCAAACATATCAAGGTATTTAAAGAGTTGACAGAAGTGTGAGGGTTCAATTGTTGAAAACAGTTTTTATTGCAGCTCGCTCATTCATGGAGTTGGAGCAACCCAAGCAAATTTGCCATCCATCTCAAGAACCTAACCCTACTAGGGCAAAGCCCACGCCAAAGCGTTTTGTGAAAAGCCAAATCCCAGATTCGATCTTAAATGACTCAGCTCTCAATGCTGCCATATCACTTCTCCCCTCAAACTACAATTTTGAGGTGCACAAATGTGTTTGGCGTGTGAAGTCAACTGGAGCCAAGCAAATTGCCCTACAATTTCCTGAGGGCCTTCTCATGTACTCCCTTGTCCTCTCTGATATCTTTTCTACTTTTGCTGGTGTCTCTCAATGCTTTATTCTTGGCGATGTTACCTATGGAGCTTGTTGTGTAGATGACTTGTCTGCTAAAGCACTTGGCGCTGATCTCCTGATACATTATGGTCACAGTTGCCTTGTACCCATTGATTCCACTACAATTCCCTGCCTTTACATCTTTGTTGATATTAAAATCAATGTTGATCACATGATTGATACTATCAGACTAAATCTTCAATCCAGTGGCAAAAACCTTGTCCTTGCTGGTACAATACAGTTTGCTTCAGCAATTAGGGTAGCAAAACCTGAATTAGAGAAATATGGGTTTAAAGTTTTGATTCCACAATCCAAGCCACTTTCAGCTGGTGAGGTTCTTGGCTGCACAGCACCAAAGGTTGTGTCAAATTCATTTGGTAGTGAGGGTGAAACTGTGGGAGTGTTTGTAGCTGATGGAAGATTTCACCTCGAGGCATTCATGATAGCAAATCCTAAAATTAAGACTTTCAGATATGACCCATATTCAGGGAAATTGTTTCTGGAGGAATACGATCATGTCGGTATGAAACAATCGAGGAAGAGTGCAATTGTGAAATCAAGGGAGGCTCAGAATTGGGGTGTAGTTCTGGGAACCTTAGGTAGGCAAGGGAATCCAAAGATTTTAGAGAGACTGGAAAAGAAGATGAGGGAGAAATGCTTCAATTATACAGTGGTTTTAATGTCAGAGCTAAGTCCAGGGAGGATCTCTCTGTTTGAAGACTCAATAGATGCATGGATTCAGATTGCTTGTCCTCGATTATCAATTGACTGGGGAGATGCTTTTGCAAAACCAGTTTTGACTCCTTTTGAGGCAGAAATTGCATTAGGAATTATACCTGGTTGGTGGGAGAAAACTGTGGTGAAAAATCAGGGTTTTGAAAGTGATTCAGGTTGTTTGAAGAGTGATTCATCATGCAGTGACTGTGACTGTGCAGATGCAAAGGAAGATTTTGGTGGAGAATATCCAATGGATTATTATGCACAAGACGGTGGGGAATGGAATTCCTCTTATTTGAAGAAATCTTCTCGTCCCGCAAGAAGGGTGATTACTGTGCCTTCTATTTCTGTTAGGACTAACTCTTAATGTAATGTTTGGCATGTGGAAAAGTGTATTTGAAAAAGGACGTGGGAAATGCACCTAGGAAAAAAAAAATGAAATAATTGAATTTCTTATTCTTTTTTTTTTTTGGTCTGGAAAGCACTTTTCTACGTATCAGACAGTGTATAACAGTTTTTAATTTGTTAAGGACGTCGGATTATGATGTAATGTTAGTTGTTTATTAGTTGCCATTAGATTTGCTTCTTGAGTGAATTTCATCTTTGTGGGCGCCATAATACATTTAAAGGGGAAAACTGCAGTTCGCTATTTTGATAAACACAAAAGGGGAAGGTGTATTGAGCCTTAAACAAGGTCATGGATAGGGGTGAAACACTCGGAAACATGAGTTTGTTGTTACTTTTATTGGGGCCGTACAAACAGTTCAAATTCTTAAAGATGATTGATTTTTAGTTTATCATGGTAATATACTTTTAATTTATAGTAGGTACTAATACTCTAAAATTACAATCAAAATCAAACTTCTGACCTAAGATTTTATTCCAGATAACTTTGCTTTCTGAGTTTTTAATTGTATTAAGTTTACTTTTTGAGAAAGAAACTTAAATTTATTTTTGTATCTGCCATTGGCAAGTCATTGTTAACTGCATGTTGCCTTTAGTTGCAAGTTGTATTTAGATTTTTCTTTTATTGGAAGGAAAGAAGCATTTTTTCATGGGAAGAAAGTCTCTTTCTACACACACACATATAGCTTTCACTTGTAATACTCACATGTAATAAATACTAATATATTTATGAGAATTTAGTTTGCTCCTTCCCCCTCCAAGTTTTAAGCTCTATTCCCCCACCATTCTGTTCCAACCTCTCCCTTCTCCCATTTTTGTTTCTACCTTTCTTCAAATTCTGCATTTAGTTTGCATCTATCTTAATGTGTGTGTATTACATTAGTTTGGTATTAGAGCAAGTATGGTATTAGAATAAGGCTTTACATACTCCTGAGCTACTTTTGTTGTTAGAAAACCAAGAAAAACTTGCCCAAAAAGACCCCATACTCTATTTTCATAGTGTTAGGGCCAAAACATCCCTTTCTAGATCTCTAATAACTTAACCAAAACATCCATCAAATGTGCATGGAAGAATCTTGCCAAACCCGTGAATTTTGCTATTCATTGCCGTACATATCGGCAAAGCTCGTTGTGCATGTACTCTGCATGCTCCCCTATTTTGTCATATGACACCATACAGAAACCTCCAAAACCTCATTTCTTGCTTTTGTTTAGTTGTTTCGTGAGGTTTTCTTCATTGCAATCTAACCCAAACATAATAATAATCTATTAAAAGCTTCATTACCTCCTTCCTCAACAATCTATCTTGTATTCAGACCATTAAGCACTTGGGTGTATCAATCCTCAACCACATTTAAGTTGCAAGCATGCTAGATGGTTTGAGTTCATTCAAGAATTCACTCTTGTTGTGAAGCATCTCCTAGAAGTAGTGAACAAAGTAGTCACTGCTTTAAGCCTACAGTCCATTTGCTAAACACGAGGAGTGTCAAACTCGCAACCTTGCGTTCATTAAAGTTTTCATATTTAGGCTATACAGAAATTGGACATTTTATAGTGTAAATTATACTATAAAATTGGCTTTACATTTAGGACTCGAGGAGTAATATTCTTTTTTATTTATTAACAAATTATGTATGTGAAGGTTTGAATGATAATTCTCAATTATATTTCATCAGAATGTTATAACGGAATAAATAGGAAAAAACTACATACATGGAAAAGCTAGGGAGAGAAATATTTGAGAGATATCCTAGCCAAAATAGTAGGATAATCAAATTCAAAAATTAAAACATACTAAATCTGTAACTAAACTTAGATTGTGGTAGAAGAGATAACTAGGTTAACTAGGTCTAAACCTAGGATTAAGCATAGGGTATTGGGCCCAAAGACCATTAGAGTTCGATGCCAACCCCTTAAGCTGGTGAGTAGATATCCTTCATACCCAACTTGCTTCTGAAGAACTTGAATTGGCCTCGATCAAGTGGTTTAGTGAGTACATCTGCCACTTGTAGGTTTGAACGTATAAAATTCAAATCTATTATCTTCGTTTCAACTTTTTCTTTTATGAAATGCCTATCAATATCCACATGCTTGGTTCTATCATGATGAACTGGCTTGTGGACCATTCGTAAAGCTAATTTGCTATCATACCACAACTTTGTAGGTGAGTCTGTTGCAATCTTCAATTCTATTAAGACTCTAGTTAACCATATTCCTTCGCATACTCTATTTGCTAAGGCCCTTAGTTATGCTTCAGCACAACCTCTTGATACAACAGTTTATTTCTTGCTTCTCCATATTACTAAGTTAGCCCATACAAATGTAAAGTAGCCTCTTGTAGATTATCTATCAACTAGATCTCTTCCATGGTCTGTATTTGTCATGGAAGTCACACAAGCAAGCCGCCAAATATTGCTATGAATCAAGTTAAAGGGTTGAGATAGTCTGCGAGGGTTACCTTTATAGGATAGTTTTTCAAAAATTCTCTCATAGCTTGGTAAAACAGGCCCTTTTCAAGTAAAACGATGTCCCCAGTCACCAATTTTCATTAAGTTACACAGATAAATTTTGTCATTCAAGGTTTTGCATCTATTGAAATTAATAGGAGCCCCTCCCTTCTTATGTACTTCTCCCTTTATGTCATTCAAATCACCTATCATAGCCTAAAGTTCCCTCATATCTCTTGCCAAAACCTCCATACTTTCCCAAAACAACTTCTTCTCCTTTTCCCTTGGACTAACATAGGCCACAGTGAGAACCAAGCCTCCTCCCCAATGTACTTAATAGACAGGTGAGCAAATTGATGATCCTGTGAAACAAGATCAATTAATACCTTAAAGTCCCTCCAAGCAATCCATATTCCTCCAGAAAAGCTAAGGCCAGGGATCGTGATCTACTTCTAAAACCCCATCTTCTAGAACAAAACTTTTGCTCTTTGCTGGTTTACTCGTGTCTCCAGTAAACCTGCTATATCAAGTCTTTTATCATCCACTACCATTTTTAAATTTCTACTAAACTTGAAACTACCAGCACCTCGACAATTCCATATCATAATTTTTTGATTCATAATCATTAAAAAAATGACAAGAAGAGGGAAACTCAATCAAGATGCATTGTGGCCACCTCCCCCAATTGGCCCTGCTCCTCTATTTCACCTTGCTTTCCTCCAACCCTCATCATAGTCCCAATTCCCTCCTCCCTATCAGGTGGTCTACTTGCATCAATCCCCCTAAGGAGCCTCGTTTCCTTAGCAACTTCAAAGGTCTCAGAGATTATATTTGAGTCAAGTTCACAAAGAACTTCTCTCCCTGTCATAACTACATTCAAATCAGTTTGTAGGTCATCTAGGTTTCTATCAGCCAGAACAATCTGGGATTCATGCTTTTTCTGAACAATCAATAGCTCGCCCGAGGAGGAAATCCCTTCTTGAGACATTTTTAGTTTCTTATCATGCTCATTTTTTGGCACTATATCTTGTGATAACACTTTTGAGTCTACTGATTTGCCTTTCCTTTTAGTCCATTCTTTAACGTTAGAAGGCCTCTACTCTTGTACCCTATTAACCATAACAGTGCCCTCATTATTATTCTCCTCCTCCTCTAGATCAGCCAACTCCCCAAATCTTCAACCATTCATACCCTACTTCAAGGCACCCTTTCCAGTAACTGCACTAAACCTTCTAGGTCTTCTGTTCCCTTGCCTAGTAGTCCACTCACCATACATCTTATACACTCTACCATGCTCCTCCCCCATAACCATCTCCCCAACTTCTACATCATATTCCTTTTCCTCCTTACATTCCTTCTCTCTATGGTCGTACCTCCCACAATTATAGCACAACAAATTCAGATCCTCATAAACAATTGACCTTTCTTGATTATCCAGAATGTAGGTTGGCAGCAAAGGCTTATTAAGGTCCACCTAAACTTCTACCCTTGTATATCCTCCTTTAGATCTTAATGAGGTCGGCATATCAACCTTCACCGTTACTCCTACCTCATTTCCCATAGCTTCTAAAATCTCTTCCTCATAGTACTCCAGAGGCATATCAGGGAATCTGATCCAAACTAATACTTCCTTAATGGCAGTAGTTCTAGGATCAAAATTAGGCTTCTATTTCCTCACAGTAACATAAGAATTAGAAATCATCCAAGTCTCCCCTAAAACAGCAAGCTCATAATCATCAATAGCTGAGAAATTGACTATAAAAAGATCATTTGACAGATATGTAACCTCAATAGAACCCACCTTAGCCCACATTCTCTGAAGTTGATCGATCATCATCCTCAAACTAAATCTCCTTCCTCACACCTTAGCAATAAGGCTCAACTAGAAAGGTTTGCGAATCTTATCAAGAGCCCTCTCTGTCAAGATAAACTCTGGAATAAGAATCTTACCTCTCTGATGTTTAACTACTTTGATTTCAGATCGGATCGATTCCAGAAATTGAGCATCATCTCATTCCTAGGCTTATGCTTCCAATCGAACAGTATCCCCCTTCAGTGTATCCTTGAAAGAGTGCATGTCACTTCCTCCAACCACCAGAGTCCTCGTACTCCCTCCATGCTTGATCTTCGTAGTATTGCGTTCTAGCAAATCAACCTCAAGTATATTTTTTATCCATTCACAGATTGTTGAAAATAATCAGTTCACAGAAAATGGTCTTTTTCTTTAATTCTCACGTCTTCAAACTAAATTATTTATACAAGCATTACTACCTTTATCATCAAACACTTTTTCATTTCGTCTCTTCCATACAAGCCAGCAGGTGATCGCAAATAATTCTTGCCATTGGGCCCATCCATTTCCCATGTATTCCTTTAAATTCATGTAGCACTAATTTGAAATGTTCCCTCAAAAACATCGCGTTTTGCAGCTGGGCTTAATGAGAGATAGCCATAACGTCTTGATTTTAGGACAGTCATGTAAGACGTGGAGTGAGTTTTTGATACTTTGATGACACCAGTGCACTCAACTGCCACATTAATCCCTCTACCTTAACAAGCCTCATTAGTGAGAAGCTTGTTATGTAGGGTGAGCTACAAAAATGATTTACACCTTTAAGGTATGCCAAGCTTCCAAAGGCATTGCCAAGTTGGATTATCGGCAGAGCTCTCCCCCTTTAGCATAGTGTATGCTGACTTAAGAGAGAAATGACCATGCTTCTCATGTTTCC